TGTGGAGGACAGACTTAGTGACAACTGAATCTCCTACTTAGCATTGTGCCTAGGGCCCCCCTAGTAATCAGTGTCCCAAGGGTGTGAAGTTTTTCAGATTTAGTCATCTTTTTATTCTACCTCCTTTTTTCCATGCACCATATTTTTCAGACACTCAGAGTTCAGCCTGGTCTAAGCCACTAAAGCTGAACGAAGACGGAAGCAGGAAGGTCTCGGGCAGGCGCACTGCCCCGGTATCTCACGCCCCGCGACGCCATGCTGCCTTTCCAGCTCCTCCTCTGAAAGCCCTGCACATTTCTGACGCTCACATGTCCTGGCTCTTCCTCATTCCTTCTCTTCGCAAAGAGCTACTATGGAGTTCAGAAAAGTAAGAAGACTGCACAGTAAAAGAACCACGTTTAAATTTACTGGGCAGCTCTTTCAACCTGCACAGCTTTGGGACAATTTAAAAACACAACTGTATGGAGAAGGTAATTTGTTTGCCCTTAGTGGAGGAGCTGCCATTGAGTTGCATGGAGCGCAGTCTCACAGAACACGGACTTCTTGGCTGGGCCCTGCTCATCCAGGAGAGCAGTTTCCCTCGTCAGGAAGCAGGGGAGTCACGTGCAATGCAGAAGGGCTTCGGGGCGAGACATGAAATCTGTAACCAGGAGGTCACTGGGCTTCTAAAATCGAAGACCAGTTTGCATTGTTCAAAAAACAGAGTGTGTGTAGTTCTGAGTGACTGCAATTATTCTTTCTCAACTTTGAAGCTGATGTCAGGAAAAAAGCACTATAAAACAATTTTTTTAAGAGACTATCATTATCTTCTAAAATTACATATTTGAAAGGACATAAAAGCTGTAATGACTATTCTTACAGACTTATTATAGATAAAGGTTTAAGTAAGAATAAAGCGTAAAGCGAGATAAGTATATCCATTATATTACACTTAGAAGTGTTAATAAAGAATTAAAAAAGCTTTCTACCTGCTAAAGAATTGTATTTTCTGTGAATGATTTCTAAATCTGAAAAGCCAGTAAAATATGTGTTAACATAGAAATACAAAAATATCCCCCTACTATTGTGATAAACTAGTACTTTATATTTGAAAAAATATAGAAATTTACTAAGATATGTATCTTTAACTTTGCTTTGAGGCCACTAGACTTTATTTCTCTCTGAGTGTCTGTATTTGCGTGTTTATGTACGTGTGTTGTGCCACTTGGTTTTAACATTGGTTTAGAGTTTTTCTGAATGACTATGAGGATTTAAGTTAGTTTGTTTTTGTAAAAATAGTGTACTGTTTTGTAAAATCATTGCTGTTATTCTTATCTCCAGCCTGTTTTAGTTCAGGTCATATTCAGTAATCCCACATTGATACCCTCATCACTGTCACACACGTAATGCCTTAGCTGCCCCGTCTCACTAGTTCATTTATTCATCAAGCTCCTTAACAAGGCATTTTTGAGGCAACTTTCCAAACAAGCTGCTCTTTTAGTCACGTATAATTGCTTTGGCCATGATGTGTACGTGTGTGCACTCATACTTATTTTCGTGTGTGTGATAGTTTTATTATTAGCATATTTTTATGTTTAATGGGAAGTACAAAATCTCTATGATGTGAATAACATAGACAAGATACATACTTGTTGCAAAAAGAGAGGGCAAGTTCATATTAGATTTGGATGATATTTCACTATAATTAGGTTCAATACGTCATAATAGTATTTTGTAAAGCAGGTTTTAAATTCCTATTTTTAAATGTTCAAATGAGAAGGGGAACAGTGGATAGGGGAGAGGGAAAGGGAAGATGGGACAAGAAAAGTAAGGAGAATGGAAGGAAAAAATGGAAACACAACTTTTATAAATAAGAAGGCGAAGAGAGGTTGAAAGGAGGGTAGGGAAGTGGAATGGGAAAAAGAAGAAACAAGATATATCACATAGAGGCAACATTCCCCATTATGAATGTTATTGTTATGTATATCTAAAATAAAACAAAAATTAAAATATATATTGCAAAAATAAATAAATAGAAGCTATACAAATGTTAATTCCTATTTTTAAATTGAAAGGAATCAGAAATTTGATCTCCATAGACTTAAAAGTTCAGTTGTTCCAGAAAAATTTCTTTGTCAAAGAATCATCATTGTCACTAACTCCTTGGTGGAAGCAGGCAGGCATCAAACAGAGCCAGAAGCCCCACTCACTCCTTCATGGTCTTTGTTGATCCACAAATCTGCGAGTCCACAAAGGCCGTTGCTTTATCTTGCACAGTGGAAATAGAACCACTCTAAGCTCGGCTGTGTTTCCAGGCAGATCAGTGCTGCGAAGCCCACAGCAGCACTCAGCTCCTTCTGAGCTCTCTGCCTCTGTGTGCTCCCCAGATCCGTGGTGTGCACGCTGGTGTGAGAACCATGCTCACCTGGGCAATCCAGACAGAAAAGGACACCAACCACACATGGCACAAAATAGTCCAGGGAAATGGGAATTACAAAGTTACTTGGTGTTCACAACTAAAATTTTTAGACAATTACATAGTAAAAAATATTTTCTAATGGTTAAATCCTTTGAACCCTCATCATGCAATGTTTAAAAACAGAAATTAATATTTTAGAATTTGACAAATTGAAACAAGATATGCATGAATGATATAAAGACACAAAATACTACACATGATGTCTTTAAACTGTATTTACATAAATAACAACATAAGTCATTGAACAGTGTTCAAAAATCTCATCTCTATTAACAATGTGTTTAATAAGAATTCCACAACCCAGCCATTAGTAAACTGGACTACTTTTCCAAATCAAAGTAGAACTACAAGCATCACCTATAAGTAACCAGAAGGTAAAATTTTTATTTGGCAAGATTAAAAATAACTTGGCAAAGAGAACTAAAATTTCAAGTTGACTTAAATACTGTGCCTTAGGTAGATGCAGGGCAGTTGAATAGAAAATGCTGTAGCCTGCTGTTAGGTAACATAAAATGGCTGAATAGTCCACGTTTGGGAATAGGAAAGAGTATTAATGATCGGCCATTTACATGGAGGAAATCAAACTTTGAGAAAGTTATCAGCCTACATTACTAAAAATTATGACCTACGAAAAAATTTTAAATGTCTAACTGCATAAACCATGATAAGAATAAAACCTCTTCCTGAACAGCAATATTAAAAGTATAACTTTCAAGGCAGAATGTGTATAATAAATGCTTTGTAAACTATTACAAACTGCTTTAAAATTTACATTCCCTGTGTAACTCTAAAAAGAAAAGCTTATACATAAAAATAATAATTATAATAAAATGCATGTGTCAGTCCATTTTCAACTATTGTTTATCCTTATATAGATTTTGTGCCAAGATAATATATACAAAATATTTCCTTAAACGTTTAAGTGTAACTTTGTAAATAAGAAAATATATTCAACTGTTTTAAGTCAACTTTTACCTTCATTTCAAATATGTACTCCTTCAAGATTCTAATGTACATGATTTTCTAACATATATACCCCTTCTTTGATGGTTTTGGCTAATGAATATTGCCAACACTAAAAAATAGTATTCTAAACAAGTACTTAAGAGTTTATTTTATTGAGTTGATGAATCAAGTCAATAATTTAAGAGAAAAAGTTCAACGATTTTGTAGATTTGTAATTTATACTGATCATTACATGAAAGTTAATTCCAAAGGAAAAAAATCACAAAGAAAGAGATTATTAAGTATTACATACTTCTTTATGGTGAATAGAACTTCATGGTACTCTTTTAGGATTCCATTCATGAGTACATGAGAAAATAATTTCACCTATTTTGCTTTCTTCTATTTCCAAATGAAATAAACACATATTTGAGCTATAATTTCGAGACAGTGACTGGTAGCTCATTAGATTAAAGTGTAAACACATTCGGTTGCTCACTGCCGGTGACCAGCTACCCAAAGCATTCTCATCCTGAATTTCTGGATCAGTAAATTTTGTACTCACAGAGCTGCCCAAGCACATTCACTTCCGGGAGGCTCTGCCACACTTGAATCTCACTAGTTCAGCTCTTTGTGGTCATATTGTTGGTGGTGCACAAATTGTGCAATCAAATACAATCCAAATTATCATACCTTATGTGGATTTTATCCCAGCTAGGTGGGTAATCGCAGGACAAGGCTAATGTACATGCTTGGGTCCTATTGTTTGAGTCTACTTTGGTCTCAGGAGACAGAAACTGAGGCCAGCACATTCTCAGGAACTACACCTATAGCGTAACAAGCATCACAACTGTGTGAAGTCTGGCCAAGTGTTGGCTGGTTTTCTCTTACACCAACTGTACCTCAGGATGGAACTTTGCTCCCCATAACTACTTCCAGATAATAGCTTTCATTCTTTTCTGTAAAATCTCTGCCCCTCCGAGGCCCTTCCTACATAGCTGAGCCCCTTTTTTCCCAGGCCTATTGCCCCAACTTCAGGCTCATGACTGTTCCACTCGGTCTCTGAGACTCTGGTTGTCCCCATAAGGAACCCTTCTGCCGCACATGCGCACAGACACGGGAACAGGACGCCACACAAGCTGACTGATATACCTTTTCTCCAAGGTCCTTATCCTTCATGTTCTCTCCTCTAGTGTGCCCCCCATTCATCCCTTAAAATGTCAGTCAAGGAAGACTGACAGAAAACAAGAAAGCGCATAAGCATGAAAATCTAAACTCAAGAAATCCGGCCACAGTGAAAATAAAGATCATTGGCCTCATCACCTTCTGGGCTCTTTCCATAGCTCCAAACATTTCTAGGCCTTCCTGAAATCTGTCCACATGAATCCACTGAAGAGGAAATCCAATAATAAACTGAAAGTGTGGGATAAGCTTCCTTAGAAGACATTGAGTATTTTTTGTCTGACTATAGATCTCTATCTAATTATTAAACAAAACCTTGATATCAAAGATAAGGAGACAACGCATTTGAAATATATTTGAGTATTACTAAAAATCAACATTACTATAAAAACTTTATTTTCAAAAAGCAACCAACCTTTTTTTTTCAGGGGAGGTTCCTCTATTTCTCCTAAACCAAGACAAAAATATAAATTAGAATTTTCACATGGTATAATATGGCTTTATTATTTAAACATTCTTTTTATTTTTAAAAAAGTCTGTTATTTTTGACAATCACAGTTAGTATATTACATTGTTCCCTAATTCCAGATTTCAAAGCATGAACTTTGTTCACATACATTTATTTGAGATTGCTTCATTTTTTATGAGTTTAATAAAATTGTGGCAATGGTCAAAATTATACATTGTCAGTCATTTATCATATTAATTTCAGTTTATCCTATTCATTATGGCTTCTTGCAACAAATATAAATTCAGACAAAGATCTAGCAAGGATTCTAAGTAAGAGTTTTCCTGTTAGCCAAAGTTGAACACATGGTTTCTGATGACTAGGACAGTCTTAAAAATGTCATTTAAAAGACAGAATCACAGTGCTTTGTTTTTTTCATTCCCATTTAGTGAAAGCTTATGTATATTTTAAGTTTGATGTTTCTTTTTCTTCATTAATATATGAGAGATTAACTCCATAATTGTACTCGTGTTTAAAATGTGTTCTACTGTTCTAGAGCTTCATTTTGTTCAATGAACTTATTCCTTTGATGGAGCCTTTAGTAAGATTACTTTACCTATTTGACTCTGAATGTGGCTCATATAAAACATTTATATGTACTTTTAATTTTACTATTTTTATTTTCATCTTTTTAGGGACAAATTTGAAATATAAACACTGCTTTTTCTTAAGAAGCGTGTAAATGTGAGTGTAAATAAAAAGACTCACTCTGTTAAAATGCCACCCTAATGGTAGCATTTAATTTTGGCATCTTTACCATGATGGTAGATAAACTCCAAGATGGAAACCAAATAGAGACTAATTCACTGCGTTTGGAAGCCTATTGAAATATTTACAGTATCAGAAGTGTGCTTGCTCTGGTTTAGCCTGATACAAGCGCTCATTTGGACAAAATCTTAAGCAAATTCCTAGGATACATATCTCATATTGGTCCTAGCTGCTAGAAATGTTGCTATGCCTCTCTGTACCTTTGTCAATGTCCTCTTCCCCATCTTCATCTTCTTCATCGCCTTCAGATGAGATGATGTCAGACAACAATGAAAAGAAGCCATAGAACCAGTCCGTGGTCTCCTCGACAGCATCGTGGACTAGTTTTAAAGGATCTGATCCAATCTTGGCAATAGAACTTGCTGGAAGTATTAAAAATAAAACAAAAAATCACAACCATCCCCAAAGAAACCGAGAAAATTTGTTTCTCCTGATTTTTAATATGCACATTTCTTGGTTAAAGCTCAGAAATAGAAAGAATATCTTGCTATAGTTTGCATTGGTGTTCAATTAGAAAATGGAGGTTACTAGACACAGTATTGTACCAAACATTACAGGATTATCAGGAAATTTTGCCCTTTGAGAAGCTTATAATCAGGATGGAAAAAATTAAGAAAGAATAAAAATAGCATATGTTTTTATTACCCAGGTTGCAAATAAACCCTGAATTATAGATGTCTGTGCTTGGAAGCAATCATCATGGCCCACATTGAGCTTTGTCACAGAGAAGATGACTCCAGAGATTTTCATGGAGCAACAAGGCCTGCAAGTCGACAAAGTACTTATGGCTAAATGGACCAGTCCATTACAAGTGGTGACATATCGGGAAAAGTCTGGAAGCTAAATGCAATTACACTGATCTCTGTTAGACATTGCAATACCTTAAAATTTTTTAAATGAGTACTTGAGCTTTTAGTAACTTTAATAGACAAAAGAAGAAAAATTGAAACCTATAAATCCTCAGATCCCAGAAGATTAAAAAAAATGTTTTGTGAAACAAATGCAAGAAAAACCAAATACTAACAAAAATGTAGGCATCTAGAACAATTAGGGATTTCCAAAGTGTTGTTCTAATGTTGTGGAAGTTGCTAGGAAGAGGCAAGAGCACTCTTTAAAATCAGGTAGAAGAGGTGGTCTAGGTAGAAATGGGGTATAAATTGCCCCTGATTTTTCATCAGTATGTACTTAAAATTTAGAGTTATGTTTTTCCTCACTTTAAAAACTATTTTAGGTTTTCAGAGAATTCCTCCTGTGATATATCTAAAATATCAGAATTACACCCATGTATTGTATAATCTAAATACTAAATACTCCAAAATTAGGCTTTCACTCTGATTGGAATAGGAAATCATTAGATTTCAACAGAGGAAGGAAGTGATTTGATTCCAGAAGCTTTTTTATTTCTGCAAGAAGACCTAAAATGGTGCCACACTGGAAATGGGGAGACAGTGAGGAAGCAAGTGACATGATTCAGAGAACAGATGATCGAGATGGTTACCAGGCCGATAACAGGGTGTGTGATGAGTGGTGAGATCCGGAATGCATTTCAGGGATGCCAGTAACAGTGCCTGCTGCGAAATCCAGGACACCCACCAAGGCTCTCGGTGGTAGGAACTAGGATAGAAGCCGCATCTCCTGAGATGGGAGAAGCCCGGAGAGAACACTTGTTATTTTGGAGGTAGAATTTGGAGAAGAAAAGTAACTGAGTATTACAGTTCTCAAACCCACAGTGAGTAGTAGACTTGTAGGGGAGTTGTTGCCATTTGGACAGGTCACTGGGATGGACAGAAGAGAAACTACCTGCAAACAGGAACCTGGGAGTAAGCAGACAGAAAGCGTTCAAAGGCACCACAGGGAATGAGATCCCCAAAGGAGGAGACTGAGGAACACTTCAATCTTTAGAAGATACAGAAATCAGGGGTGTGGAGAGAACCCAGCAATGGATCCTAAGAGGGAGAGAGGAGAGTCAGGAGAAGAAGAGAAAGAACCAAGACAGGAATGCACTAAAGTACTTTGAAGATGATTATGCAGTGCAATGACTCCTGTATTCTCATTTGATTATGAAATTTTGTTTTATTTTTTCATGAAATAAAATATATATTTAAAAAATCATTTCAAGAACAGTGACCAAGTGTGCAGGGTGGGGATAGGTCACTAAGCTGAAACTTTCTGGTGAGGAGGCCACTGGTGGCCGTCAAAGAGCAGAGGTGGTGATGCTGTTGGGCTGTATGCGATGCAGACCCAGTGATGTATGAATGGCACCAGACAACAGCTGATGCTCTGTTTTAGCATGGTCACAAGGAAAGGACATCCTTTGGTTTATTCTGATGAGGAAAACTGCACAGAGAGAGGAACACCAATAACAGTGTACCCCTGAAGACAGTTTTAGTTTCCTGCCCTGCTCTGGGGGCTGGCAGAGCACACATTCAATGACCCCCAGTTATAACCATTCCTCCTTATACCCTGTGTACTGCGTTCCAGAGAGCTTCGTGGGAGGAGAAAGGAGTCATCTGAATGGTGAGATTACATGTCAGAGAGAGGCAATGAAACAGGACTTTATAATTGCAATTGAGAATTTAAAAAGGATTATATGCAAGGAGCTGAATTGTATTGGCAGCATTAAAGGCACTTTTAGCACTAATATAGTTTACATCTAGTGCCAGAGAACTGCAAGTGGGATTTTTATGATTGGAATAGATGGTGACTATTTCCTCCTTCCTTCTCTTCCTAAGTGTTACCTGAGAAGCTTAACAATAAAATCCAACAAAAAGTTATCGATTTAATTACCCTTATGCTTAGAAACACTCTGTATACTTAAGACTTGCTCCTGCTCGTGTGTGTGTGTGTGTGTGTGTGTGTGCACTCGCATGTGTGTCACCTGGCTCTTATTATAGCAAAATACTGTCAAATCAGACCTTTTTCATGAAGGTAAAGTTGCTGGTTTGACGCAGCTTCTGATTCTCAGCCTCAGTGACAACTTCTTGGAAAATCTCAGCACTCACACATGTATTTCAGTAAGCTAGTAGTCCTCAAATCAGCTCTTTCAGATATCATGTCCAAACCATATCAACAAGAAAACAGTATACATTGCAGCTAAAACTTTTCTTGATGCCTTCTTTCAAGAGACACTGAGATACTTATACTTACTATGTATGCTTCTATGAGTCCATACATGCATGACTGTGAGGCTCATCATAAAAATAAAAGCAACCAGGCACCATTCTAAGATCTTTACAAATATTAGTTCTCTCATAATAACCCAATAAAGTAGATATATTATTTTATTTCTTTTTTTAATGTAGGAAAATTGAAAGACACATAATTTTTAAAATATCCCATGTTTAGAGCTGGCAAGTTACAGAGTCAGATTTTGGGCCCCTGTTTGCAGGCAAGGACTTAAGTATGCTATGATATGCTTTCAGACAAGCAAAAACAGGAATTCACCATTGGTTTTAAGATATGATTTGGGTTTGGCAAATTCTGAGAAGTGATTTCCTGCTCCCAATGAAGGGAAGAAGGACTTTGTTTCAGTGGGAAGAGAACATCATTTTGTAACCATGAGGACAGTAGCTCATCTAGGAAGGCAAAGTTTAGAAATATATCTGAGTCCATGATGACCTTGCAGGGGTGTTAAATTACAAAATCTGGGGATCACCATGCTCCAGCCCTTCTGTTAAATGACACAAGAAATCAGTATTAAAGGTACTCTTAATTTTATCTTATGTTTCTGATGGGAAAATCCACCGTTATATGCAGGATAAGTGGCTTTCAGGTTACTTGAGGTCCATAACTGGATTTTCAGCACAATAAAAGTGCCAAGAGAGGCCAAGAAAAGTTTAAGTTTAAATAAGCTTTCCACTTATTCTGTTTTTGAAGCCAAACCATACCCATACCTGAGTTTCTAGATGAGACTTTATATGAGGTATCAGATCTGTCGTCTTCTCTGCTTTTCTCGTAAAGAACCAAGCCCTCTAGTACTTCCACCAGCAATTTTGCATTCCTTGAGGTTCCCTATCCTGAGAAGCCTCTGAAAATAAAGCTTCCCCACTTGGGCCTTTGGGCCACACTGGAAACATTCAAGGTCCACTTTCCCACCTAGGGCCATGCACACTTCACTGGATTTGGAGATCAAAGGAAAGAAATAGGTAAAAGCAACAGAGATCTCATTAAAATTTTGATATTTTGTTCTTCACAGATTTTTTTCCAGTCATTTAAAAATTTTTCAATATTGCATTGAAGTATTGTGCAATTTCTGAGATCTGTGCGCACAGGTGAGGCCCCCCGGGCCCTCTGTAGTCCTCCACACCCCCAGCTAGCAGCTGCGGGTGCCGTGGAGGGGAGGAACCTCTGCTTCCGAGGCCAGGGCTCTGAGTGAGACCTCCGCCCCTCTTGCCCACTGTGCCTGTGTTCAGCCTTTCTGGACTCGGGTTGAGAGTCTGACCAGCTCTGGAAAACAGCCCCTGACAGCAGAAGAAGGTCACGGCGCTCTGCTCCATTTGCCCAGCGGTAAAACCACAATGAGAAGGACGCTCCTCACACTGCCTGGTGGTCATGAGCGCTGCATGGGAAAGGCATCCAAGTCGCACAGCACAGTGCAGTAGGAGTGCTAGGGGTGCGTACACAAGTTGGTGGTGTGACTCTAGGGCTTTCCCAGGGTCGCTGGGGAGGGAGGCAAGGGGCCGGGGCCTGCCTTGCCCTGCCCTGCCCTTGGCACAGTTTGCAGCTGCTGTCTGTGTCTCCCATCTGCACGCACCACTGCCTGAGGCACCTGCAGTGAGAGGCTTACAGCGCCTGCAGCCCTCAAGGACCCCCGGAGCTGCCTGGTGCTCAGGGAGGAAAGAGGAGGCAGCAGACACTGTTTGCACCGCGCAGCACCCACGGCTAAGCAGGGCCTAGGACGGGTCAGATGATTCCGGGTTTGAGTTTAGCAATCATTTGTCTCGTAAGAGCGGCAGCTGTGAGCACCCTCCCTGCACATGAGGTCCCCGCTTTCCTGCATGAGAAACAGTCCACACTTTCCCGAATCTCAGCAGATCCAGCTCTGCCTACGAGGATGCAGGCTGAGGGGAGAAGCCTTTAAGAGGCTGTGAGGACGGACGCCTAAGCTAAGGGCAGTTAAACTTGTGCACACGGCGCCCTGGGTACCCTGCAGACACAACACTGGGAGGAAGCTAAGGACTCTTTGGAGATTCTCCTTGGGGTGACTGTTAAGCACCAACAGCGCAGCACTCTAACGTGGTTAACGCATTAACACAGCCCTGCCCCGGTTAGCTAGGTCTTTCCAATCTTGATACTATGAAGCAAATTGTTTCAAAATGGACAGGAAATTTTCAAGACCTAAAGAAATTATAATTTTATATGG